GGCTCCAAGGCAGAAACAGGATGGCAGAGAACCATGGCAGAGGAAAAGGTGATCAACCCTGGCATCCAGGAAGGAGAGAGAAAGGAGGAGCCCAGGGTGGGAGATGGACTCTTCCAGGTCACTTCCCTGGCAGCCTGCATTTCTGACTGGCCCTTACCTCCTAACAGACAGCACATTCAGCACTGGATTCCCCAGTGGATTAACTGAAGAGTACAGCACCCTCATGAGCAAACCAATCACCTTCAACACATGAGAATGTGGGGGGGCATTTTAGATCTAAACCAGATGATGATGATGATGATGATGATGATGATGATGATGATGATGATGAACATGATGGCAGGGCCGGAGGTTTAGCTCAGTGGTGCCAGCTCCCGCCTGGCAAGCACAAAGTCCTGAGTTCAATTTCAGCACACCCCGCAAAGAACATGACAGCAACAATAACAGCTATTTTTGGCCATTCAGTATGATGTTGGCTGATGGTTTTTCATAGATAGCCTTTATTAAATTGAGGTATAGACCATCTATTCCAATTTTTTGCAGGGTTTTTTATCATGATTTATCAAATGCTTTTTCTGCATCTATTGAGAGGATCATATGGTTTTTGTCCTTGACTTTGTTAATATAATGTATTACATTTATTGACTTTCGTATGTTGAACCACCCTTGCATCTCTGGAATAAATCCGACTTGGTCATGATGGATGATCTTCTTAATAATCCTCTGTATTCTGTTTGCTAGTATCTTATTAAGGATTTTTGCATCTATATTCATTAAGGAGATTGGTCTGTAGTTCTCCTTTTTGGTTGTATCTTTCTCTGGTTTGGGAATCAGAGTGATACTTGCTTCCAGGAATGAATTTGGAAGTATAGCTTCTCTTTCAATTTCATTGAAAAGTTTGAAGAGTAATGGTAGTAGTTCTTCTCTAAATGTCTTGTAAAATTCAGCAGTGAATCCATCAGGGCCTGGGCTTTTCTTTGTTGGTAAGTTTTTAATTATATTTTCAATTTCACTGATTGTGAATGGGGCATTTAAAATGTTTT